TTTTTTTTTTTTTTTTTTTTTTTTGGCTCTGACCAATCTTGAACCAGCCCTAGGTGCAATCCAAGCCAGGGCAGACAACCAGCTGCCCTGGACCTGTGGGCAACCAGCTTTCAACTTGCTAATGCAAGAGTTGCCTGGGATCATGAAAAGTAGAAAGGGCAGAATTGAGATCTGATCCCCAGGCCCCAAATCACACCTTCTTGCCATGCACATATGCCATAGAAGATAACACTTCAGCCAGAATTAAATAGCTTTCTCTTTATCACTGTCTTTACTGACGGTACATCAGCGCTCATGCATGCAGTTCCAAAACCCACACGCGTTCCCTGCGCTTGACATGGTACGATCGATCATACAGGTCAGAACAAGACGGCTGCTTTTTTTAATCCACTTGGAAACCAATAGAAGGTCACAATTTTGACTCGTTTTTCCATGCACCTTGAAATGTACAAAGTAAGTGGCAGTAGCCAGAGAATCAAGTTTAATGGGCTGTTATACAGGAAGACTTTGTTTTAGTTTTGGTTCTAGTTTTAATTACAGGTACTGTATAAAATAGATAATGACTTTATTGATTATACATCATGATTCTTGTGTATTATAGCAGGATACTAAGAAATACATAAGAACGTATGGTGGAAGGTGACCAATGTTTTACAGAATAATCTAAATCTAACAGATATATCTCACCACCAATTTGAAGTCATCACTGCTGTACCATCATCAGACTACAGAGCAACCACATAGTCACACACACTGGTACATCGGTGTATAATACAGTAAAAGCTTGAGGACTACGTTTCTCAAACAGGTCTTCCTCTTTAGGTTTCTTTTTGGCTTTTGTTTGTACAGTAATACCACAGGCTTGTTTGGACCATGCAAGGCATTATGCTGTGTGTTACTTCTTAAAAATAGAATTTGCCCTTGAAAAGGCATGAGGTTAAGATTTTATATTAAACTTTCTGATAACAAAAACGTGTAGGGTTTGTGTTATTTCTTTCCAGTGAAATCCGTCCTCTTAAAGCAAGAGGGGTTGAGAGAAAAAAAAAATCTTATTACTTCAGTGCTTTAAGCTACACACTTTTTAGTGTCCATAATCTACATGATGCAACCTTTAGTGGTTAGCTGAAGAGGTTAGCGATGGCTGTAATTCAAAGTTACAGCACAAGTCTGGGCTAACATTTAAAAAAAAAAAAATTGGCACCTCTTATTTACACACATCAGTAGGAACAATTTCACTCTGGAACGCAGAATACGGCAGCTGGTTTAGAACTGCAAACTGTACATTGTGTACTGTCACAGGATTCAATAGCATACTGGAAAGGAAAATGCTGCTGTTTTGTTGAGTTCTAAGCAGTGTGCACATTTGCCTGTTATACAGAGAGATTTCCCATTAAAACAAACGTTAAAAGAAAATATACAACGGGAAACAAACTGCATATTCAGTAAAAGACCATTGGCTCCACTTGCCAAAACATATGATACTACAGTTTACAGTCTTTACAGCGGAGAGGGGATTCATCTTCATTCAAACATTTCATAGTGGCGCGTTTGCCTTACGCGAGGGACCATATCGATAAGCAGCCTGCAAAGGAAAGCACAAGTAACTTTAGTAGAGATGCAGGGGGAGAGCACAGGGGGTGTCATCAGATCTCATCATCTTTTCAGTGCTGATCTGAAGGACCCCCGCCTAGAGACGATACCAAGCTATAGGGAGGCATAAGGATCAGGGAGGGGATCCAGTGTTTACTTCCCTCTGCTCCCTGTCAAGACTGCTTTGAAAAAAACCCTTTACCATAGAGGAGAGAAAATGGCAAGGGCAGCACTTCTCAGTACAATCAGTTTAGTCACCAGAATTAAAAAAATATGGCTGGTGGGCCACATCTCAGCGAAGATCCTTTTTGCCAAGATCTACTGCCCAGCAATCTGGAGTCCATTCAAATTGCTCATAGGTCTCCACCTCCATTCCTTTTTTGCCTAGGAAGTAGGAGATGGGGAAAAGCCAAACTCAAAAACATTTTTAAAAGTTTGTAAAGAGGTTTGCAGTTCTTTACAGCTGGGCAATGAAATTGATGTCAAGATTTCATTTAATTTCAACAGGCTTGGAAAGAATTTCAGCTCTGATCTTTGGGTATACGCACTGATATATTCTGGAGAGTTAATGGGGAGGTCAATATTAAGTTTGTTATTTAAATACAGTTCTAGTCTTAATTATGGAACAACTATGAGTGATACCTTCCTATAATTTCACACCAAGATGGGCTGAGAAATGTCATCAAAATATTTGGGAGGAAATTCTGCCCAGGAACTGTGGCAGTGTTTGAAGTATCTCAGATCCAGAGGATCACACATACAAAAGGGATTTTACCTAAAATAAGATTTAAAAAAAAACAAAAACCTCTTAAAATATTTTCCTTTTTTTTTTTTTCTTGACTTCCCTCTAATTCGTACAATATGGCCTAGCTCTTCTTTAAGCTCCCACCCACCCAACTCTGTCTTAGTGTTGACAGCTACTGTCTGAAGTTCAAAGATTTATTTCAGAGGAGTTATATAAACCTCTGACAAGGCTTATTATTCTTGAACAAAACATTGTCAAAGCTGGTATGTTGGGTACAGCAAATACCTACCAGCAGACTTTATGTTAAAAGCAAAATGTAATTAAATTACAGGAAAGGTCTCTATTCCATTTCTCTGTTCTATTTCCACTGCAAAATTAGGTTTGACATTGTTTTGTTCTTCAAATTCTAACAATTCATCAATTAAAAAAAAAGTCTGGGAATATTCTGTAGATGAATAAATGAACAAATATTCCAGAGAGACGAGCCGTTCATGGCACTGGTACAGAGACTCTCCTTTACCCCCGGTTGTCTTTTTTGTAGCTAGAGCCTTTGGATCAGATTCTGCTCTACCACTGGACACCTAAATGCCACTATTTCCCCCGCTCAAGTCCTTTAAAATCCGTTACTTGATCTACTTTTGTAACACACAGTCATCCTTAGCCTCGTAAAAAGAGCAGCAAAGAGGAAAAAGAGTAACAAGTTTTCAGGAACTCCAGCAGAGTGGAATAGGATATCTCAGGGGTGTCCAAGTCCACTTAGGTGCCGAATAGGTAAAATAAGATCTTGCCCTTTGTTCTGCCTGCCACAGAACCTAACAGAGATATCATCACTTCTTGTCCTTGAAGCTAGCCACCCTCCAGCTCGCATCCACTTGTGCATGAGCTACTTACCAGTGAATTAACAACTTCTTTCACGCATCATTGACTCCGGTAATTTTACAAGACCTGTCATAATGTGATGAGAGCTGCCAAGCAACAAGGTCCAAGGGAATTGGTGAGCTACCAACAGCGTGCATCAACGCACACACTCCAGATGAAGCACGCTTGTGTTCATTAACGTGCAAAGCAGCTAACATGTACAATCATGTATTGCATAAAGATGGTTGCTGACAGAGCAGAAGGAAAAAAAAGAAGCTTAACTCACTTGATTCCATAGGTGAGTATTGTAAGTCCAATTAGGACTCCTATACTGCCATCCAGGTACCAAACAGAAGCATTGTGTTTAAAAACTTCTGCACTGAGAAGGATAGAAAATCCCATTACTCCACCTACAAGAGAGTTGAAACCTACAAGAGAGGAAATAAAACAAATCAGTGAAGGAACTGACCCTCTTGGCATCAGCTTTCACCGTGGCAGCTAAGAGGAGACTGCCTGAGAAGAGCTAGGCCAGCGCAGGTGAGGCTAGAGGGCGAAGACACGGTAAGGTACCAGACAGTAGAGCCCAGTGAAAGTTGTGCCACACTGAGGCAGTTTGTCCATTGCCAAAGTTACAGGTTACTCAGAGGCTTCATTTGGAAAAAGCAAATTATGAATGTTCACTATCTCCCCCATATTTCCCAGTGGCCATCATTGTTTTTCATATCCAGAGTGAATAACTCGCTCCCCCCCACACACCCTCAATATACTAGGGGTCACTATTTTTTCTCCTTTTCAGTCTTCTGGTCAGTGAGTCTTTCCTCAAGTTCAGTGGTCAGAGTCATTCTATGTTCACAATGTTGCACATCCACAAAATAAAAAAAAAGGTGATCCATATCATTGGTGCCCTTGCTTAGTTCCTACCTGGTTGAATGGGGTATCAGACTTAACTGTTTTGAGTCAAACTGGTTATGCAATGGCTGCCCCAGACCCCTTCCTGGTTTAAGATAAACCAGACTCCCCTAGCATCCTGGCATGCTCTCTGGGCTCAGTGGGGCTCTGCTCCACAGCAGGGCTGCCCTTCATGGACTGCAGGCTGCTCGCCCCCCTCCCCCCCACTACTTCCTGCTAAGCAGGAATTCCCCTCTCCCTTGCAGAGAGGTGTCTATGTATTAGCTAACAGACCACATGGTGGCTACAGTCCCTGCTGAATCAACAGGTAGCTGGTAATGTCCCTCTGTTGTTTTCTTAATGGGGTGATAAACACTGTTATCAATTCCCACCTGGGCTAATCAGAGTGTCATGCTGGGGCCTGGCCACACCCCATACTCAGCTCAGCCCTATGCAAGGGAAGGGAGGGCTGCTCTAGCACCCTCCAGCTTCTAGCCTAAGCCACTTCAGGCATGTGCTGGCATTTCTGGGATGTCTTTGCAGTTATAAAGTGATGGCTAGCCGGGTTAGACTAACTTGCAAAGATTAAATCAATTCAGGCTCAGGCTTTTTGAATGTCCGTCTCTAACCTTAATAACAAGACTGCTTAAAACTGTTTCCCATTTGGTCCCCAAATATATCATAAGGTCTTCATGCCTGTCACTCACAGGCTTAATAAAATTCTTTTAAATTAAATTAAACTTTTATGTCCTCTTTTAACCTGTAAAATTGCCCTTTTGAGTGCCTTTTGTTTCCTGGAGCCTTTATGTGCAAGGCATCTATTCTCACAACTGCTGCTAGGCACAGATAACATTGTATAGATGCAGAATTGACTTCTAAGGGCTAGAGCCAATAAGGGACATGGTCAGAACACCCCCAGCTGTGTTTTAAAGCAGTCAGCTCTGCTCAGTTCTTTGAAAGAAGAGCCTACACTCAGTTCTTTGAAAGAAGAGTCCAGGCTGCAGGTCAGGATGGTCAATGCTGCTTGCATAATGCAAGTCCTAGTAACTAAATCTACTGGTCCATCAGCCATGATCATGGAGACTGCCAGTGGTGCCATCTTGTATACTCTATTGTTCTCAACAAGAAACCTTCACACAGCTCAGCACTTAGAGATACTCAAAGAACTTCACAATCATTGATTGACTGAAGCCTCCCCCTGCTCCTGTGACAATCATTGATTGACTGCTCCTGTGACAGGTAAGTGGAGTTAAAACACCCATTTCATATATGGATAAACTGAAGCACAAAAATATAAGCATGGATGGAACCTCCTGGATCACTAAGTCCCCTGTTATTACAGGCAGACGTATTACCTGGTTTGCATGAACAGATCAAGTCAGAGGTATAATTTGCCCCAAGTTGCACAGAAGTTTAGGACAGAACACAAGAGTAGCTGCCTCCTGCTCCAAACCCTAAACTAGCTCATCTCCTTTATTAGGGGCTTTGCAGGGAGGAATTTTGCATTCTCGCAGTGAAGAACTGCAAGCTACGGACTTTTCCAGACTGGGTCTAGTTGTCCTTTTGAAATGATTATCCTGTCCCTCTCCCACCAAATGCACTTGTTCCCTAACAGTCATTTTTGGTGGTTTGTCCAATCTAGCTTTAAAAGTCCCAAAAAAGGGGCTTTCACCTTTTCCATGTGGAAGATTATTCTACAGTCTAACACATCTCAGAGTCTGGAAGTTCTTCTGACATTTTCATCCCATACTTTTAAATTTTACTCTCTCATTCTTCCAGCTGATGTTTCATTTTGCCCGTCAAGTAGGACATGCTGTTATGTTCTCTTTGGGTCTGGCTGGGAGACAAAATTCCTTATTGTGAAAAAGTTTGAAGTTTTTTGCAATGGGAAAGGGCAGGAACAAGCATCTTAGTAGCTATAGCAAGTATCGGAGGTTCATCTCAGGTGAGCGCCTTAATCAATGAGCTACTGGTTGTTTTGGGGTGGGTTTTTCTTTCCTCTCTGGATCAGAAATTCTGTCTTTGACCACAGAAATTTTCTGTCAAATCTAATGTTTCCATTAACTGTTTTGGTGTCAAGAAATAGCATTTTCTATCTCAAACCCTCATTCTGTTGAAAAATGCCCTACTGGTTTTATCGTTTTTAATGTCCTATTAGTTTGATTGCATGCACTTCACTCTTTCAAGCTTTTAAACTCTTTTATCTCAGTCCCTTCTCCTACATACTTTGTGTTGTTGTTCTCTGAGCTCTCTTGTATTTATCAGTATCCTTCTGGTAACATGCAGAGAAGAAAGAGAAACAGAACAATTGCTGAACTCTTGTGTTCCTGACATTTGAGTTGTGAATATCATGGCCTTTGGGCTAACTGTTGCTTGTTTACATTTACACTGATTTCTGCAAGACTATTTCCGAGGCAGGAACAGACTTCATTCATTTCCTGGTTCTAAATATTTGAGCATTTAAATACTATAGGAATACATTTGCATTGACCTTCTCCCTCCAATTACTCATGCTCCTAAGACTTAGACATTTTCTAAAATCCCACTCCCCATGCTTTTGAGGATATGCTGAAAAATGGTATCTAGGTTACAAATGCTTGTAAGTGGAACAAGAAGCAACAATCTGGAAATGACTGAGCCATTATTGAGTGTTTTCTCAAACTGCTGCACTCTGTGAGCTTAATATGACTTAAATTATGTGCCAAGAACTTTTAAGGTCAACCTGCCCTTGAATACCTGTAAGATGTCTAGTGGAAACTGTGCAAATATGATGGGAGAATTGGGCCATTAGAATCTAACTAAAATTAAAATAATGGTCTATAATAGATAATATTCTGAAATATGCAAATATATTTAGTAGGGCTGAAGTATTGTTGTCGCCGGGACAGGAAATATTCTCTCCCAGAAACATGTGAGAAGTCGCTCTGAATCCCAGCCGTACCCTCCAATGTATCTACTACACCCCCCAGCGTGGTGTCATCCGCAAACTTGCTGAGGCTGCACTTCATCCCATCTTCCAGACCGCTAATGAAGATATTAAACAAAACTGGCCCCAGGACTGACCACTTGATACTGGCTGCCAGCTAGACAGCGAGCCATTGATCACTACCCATTAAGCCCAACAATCTAGCCAGCTTTCTATCCATCTTACAGTCCATTCATCCAACCCATATTTCCTCAGCTTGATACTGTGGAAGACGGTATCAAAAGCCTTGTTAAAGTCAAGATATATCATGTCCACTGCTTTCCCTGCATCCACAGAGCCAGTTATCTTATCACAGAAAGCAATCAGGTTGGCCAGGCATGACTTGCCTTTGGTGAATACAAGCTTTGGTACCTGGCATGACAAGGCTCTCCCTCCCTCCTCTGGCTTCTGCTTCCTGCATCTACTCCTGTGTGGAGTGAGATGGAGCTGGGTAGCAGAAGAGTGTTGCACATGCAGTTGGGGAAATCCAGGCTGCCCATGCTGCAAGAGGAAAGCCATGCACACATGCGCATGAGTCTGTACTGTACTGTACTGTACTGTACGCACTGTACACACTGTGCATGCATAGCACTAAAAGGTCAAGCTTTCCAGGCTGTGCACATAGCAGAGGAGAGATGAGCTATACACATAGTTGGGGGGAGGAGGGGAGCCACGCTGCCCACATGGTAGGAGGGAGATGAACTGGTG